TACTGATCACAGGCTCTCGAGCCACTTCATCGTAGGGAACCTATTTGATTTCCTCTTGTAATACACGTGTACCGCATGTACGGAGCTCCGATACAGCACTCCCTGTGTCTTACTTTCCAAGAGCCGGATACTCCTTCTCCGTGAAGAAAGAAGTGGGGACACATCCACGTGCTTTGCCACGCACTTCCAAGGTTTGTTCTCCGCTTAACTAAGACTGCGGCATCGGTGGGAAGGAGCAGCCGAAGCTTTTGTCACGATCTGAGGCAGTTACACTGGATCATGCCCGCACATTGCATTTTGAGCAACCGCAATCCGATACTGGAGTCGATCTTGTGCACGAGCGTATAACAGTATGAGTTTCGTGCTCATTCAGTGATACAGGCTTGTCTGATTGGATCTTGTATCCACCTGGTTCACGGGCTTCTTCTTCCGTTCACAGAACTGGACAGTAGAAGCCTAATGTTGTCTTGGCTGCCCTTTTTTTTTTTGCTCGTGTCTACATACTTGCTACGTTCACGGGTTCGATTCATGCCCGGATTTTGTTCGTTGCTTTTAGCATCGTTTTCCCGAGAGGAAGGAAGAGGGGAAGTGGCAGTGGTGACTCGTGATAGGGAAAGAGCCTTGGGACGCGTGGCGTGCTTACATCGAACGCGCACGCATCATGGGGTACGTTGCAGACGACAGCAGAATGGTACGTTAAGTTCTCGGATTTTTGGTTATCTTGTCTTACATTGTCAGCGAACCGCACTGAGGTTATGCGGCTGCGAGATTTAGGTTTCAGAGTCTCGTGGTGCAGTAATCGCAGGACTCGGCGACTGAACGCGACACTTCAAATGCGACATACTTCTGTAGTCATCCCATGTGAAGATCTGTGCCACCACATTGGAAGGATGTGTTACAAGGGTAAAGATGGTGATCTGGCGAAAAATTACCTCGGGAGGAGTAGAACCACGCTTTGTTTCGTCTTAAATAGTAAGAGTAGGGTTCCTCCATCGCTGTTCATTACCCAAAATACGTTGCGTGTCACCTACTGCTCGTGGCCTCACGCATGCTCACGCAGTGTTTGATAGCACCATTGACTGATCATGTCGTGATGACTCCGTTCCGAACCTGCATGGTCGGCAGTTGAAGCCCAACGTGTGGTTGACTTCTGCCAAACTTTGCACTAAACTTTCTCTCCTTCAGGCAGAAGTGCGAGTGAGTCCCTCTACGTGTTCACCGTGATGAAGGTCTATCCCAGTACCAGGTCGAACACATGAATATGCCCCTTTAAGTAACCAGGCCCATCCTCGTCGATGTCTGGGTGTCACCTGTCACTACCTCAAAAAGCCTTCGTACTCTTATTGTGATTTAATCAATCTCGTAGAGTTCGTACTGTGCGACAACTGGTGGCACGGCATCCGGCAACCTGTGGCACGATCCGCGATATGAAACAGCCTGACAGCCGTGTGCTACCACGTCAAAGTATGACGAGGATGCGCTGGTGTGGAGATGAGTTAATCAGCAGGCTGGGCCCCATCGTGGCCTTCTCGGCTTCAGCCGCATAGCGTGCATTGAGCTGTTCGCCCTGACGATCAAAAGAACGATATGTGGTGGTGTGGTGATGTTTCGAATGGCACGGTGCTGATCGTGGCCCTGTCAAGATAGGTGGCGTTGCTGGCGCGTCCTCAAATGGATTGGTAGGCGCAGTCGAGTCATGGGTCCGCTTCAACTTGCTCACCACCATCCCACGAAGTGTTCAGGCACGAGATGACGAGAAATTTGACAGAAGTATGTCGTGATGAAGTCGAAATGTTGGGCTTTGAGGTATCGCAGAATATGTTGTGCGCAAGACGCAGCTGCCCAGCGATTCCTGTTTCAGAAGTGTTACAGACGCGAGGAGAGAAGTAGACATCTCAACCGCTTGCCGTGATGCGTTCCGTAGACATTCCATTACCATCATGAGTTGTATGCGGATTCTGATCTTGTCGTTCGCGACATGCGCATTTGGGTTGTACGCCTATGCGTCACCGCAATGCCCAAACGCGCCGCATCAATTCGCGGTCCAAGCTCAACTGCCACTCCAATTACCACATTGTCCATTCACCACCGGCAATTCAGAACCATTGCCGAAAGAGACGCCCCTTCAGCACTTACCGTGGTCGCACGATCCAGCCTGTGCTCAAGGGAAGCAGAAGAAATATTGCACCTACACGACTTCCGAAACAAGAGGCGGACATGCTTTGAGCATTATCGCAAGACCTGTAGCTGCAAATGCGATATCTGCGGCCTTCCTAGCTCTGAACGGGGAACACCAGGGCTTGGATGATGGTCTCGAAGTTCGGGCCTTCCCGGGCAAGGGCAAAGGCCTAATCACCACAAAGGCTTTGGAGAAAGGAGAAACGATATTACTCGATACTGCGCGTATCATCGCGAGCTCGCATTTTCCTACGCAAGTTACGCGTGCGCAAGGCCAAACACTCTTTAGTGCCGCACTTGATCGATTACCTCAGGCAGATCGGAACTCGGTGCTCGCATTGGATCAGAGTCTGGGTGGCAGCAAAGTTGAAGACATCATGAAGACGAATGCTTTCGCATGCCAGCTCGCTGATGGCGAAGTAGACGACGCCTACATGTGTCTCTTCCCTTCCGTTGCCCGGATTAATCACGCGTGCCAGCCCAATGCGCACGCGCGCTTTGTTCCGAAGACACTATCAATGGAGATCAAAGCTCAACGGGACATCGCCGCTGGGGAAGAAATCGGTATCTCGTATGGCAAAATCGACTTGAAGCACGCAGACAGACAAGCACTCTATCAGGAAGGCTGGAACTTCAAGTGCACTTGCTCTCTTTGCACTGCTTCGCAATACGATGTAGCTGGTAGTGACCAGCGCCGTGCGAGGTTCGCCCAACTCCGGAAGATGCTGGAGAACTTGACGGCGGAGACCTACGATGCCCAACAAATTGTTGCTTGGGAGAAAGAAGTGATGGAGATTAGTCAACGAGAGGGTTTGGATACTCTGCTCGCCCAGGACTATGAGAGACTGGCGTACGTGTACGCAGGTCACGGAATGATGGGAGATGCCAGACGTTGGGCAAAGATGGCGAAAGAAAGTTTATTGGAATGGGTGGTGGTTGATGGAGGTCCGCGCAATCAGATAAGGAGGATAGAGGACTTGCTCAAAGAGCTGGATGGCTAAGTCAGGGTTGTCATTTCGCGGTCTGATAGCTGGGGCTGCTGGCTTGGGCTACGAAGATGCCTGAAGACGGACCGGAAAGACTGTAAAGTTCATGGGAAATGTACCATTGCTTAGAGACTCCGCGAGTGTTCGCTGGCAGCCTTCCGGTGTCCGCGCGCGACAGCCGTGCTAGTAAGCCTGCGGTGGCTGAACGTCTACAGGGCTGAATGAAGCGTCTTGCGATCGTGACATGGACCGTGATAGAGGACGTGATCGGGTCGGTCCATCGTCGTCCATAGATCTTCATTGCAGCCTCCGAATACTCCGAACACCCCACATTGCATCCCCGATCCGTCGACCGTGCTTGAATAGACGTTGTTGCTAATGTCACCCTGCCCGATCCAACCTCAAAAGGGTCCGGAAGGCTGGTCGCAAGATGACGTGAGCGCCAGATTGGGCAGTAGGCAAGTACACTGGGCGGTGGAATTTTGAGAGATGAGGCACCTAAAGACTGTGTGTTTTAATTTACAGCCGTGGTTCGTCATCACGCGGAGGCCCTGCCGGCGCCGCCAACAGGTAAAAACTCTGGATGGTGCCGCAGGCCAGGGTGCCCAGATCTGCACGCACCGGGTACAGGCGAGCTCGAGATCGTGGGCGATCCTCCAACAGTCAAAACAGGCAACGGTCGAAGAGGTCATTGCGCTGAGTAATCTCCATCGAAAAGGACCTTGGAATGATGGAGATAGACGCCACCGACGCGATGGGTAGTCTCTGGGTCGGCGGAACTGATAGCATATGACCTATTGACCGACCGAGTGAACGATTGATGCTTGCTACCACATCCCCGCGATTGACAGCTCGGGGCGCTCGCGGCGCCGTTGTCAACGGTGATATGTCGCAGCGATGGCAAAGAGAGTTCGATGGTGGAAATGCAGGTACGTGCCGAAAAGGGGTCTGTGGTGCTGAACTAAGCGGCACTTGGCCTATCAGATGCTAGCAGTGGCCTACTCCGCCTCGCATCTCAAACCTTCCACCACACCTGGCGCATCATCGCCTCGACTCTTCATTTGCTACGAGCCTCCCGTCCTCTTTCACTACCTACCTCATGCGGCTAAACGCGAGCAAAAGCATTACTGAACGACCCGTTGTCAAGTGACAAAGCAAATGCGAGGCGCGCATCAGCAAGCGCCATCTTCGCGTACGTGGGTCTGAAAGAGCGCATCCCTTGAAGCAAGTGAAGGAGGAAGCGCCGTCGGGCCTTGACGAAATAGACTTTGTCGTCTTTGTACCACTGCTTCCAACGTCGAGGCTGTTACACTTGCCTCGAACTGCTTGTTAGCTGCGTCACCCATGCCTCCGTATACGGGTCCATGGGTCTTTCGAAGACCAGGTTTGATTGTCCAGTTTCAGATGTCGGCGGGGTCTACCCTGTAACCAGCGGCTTTGCCAGCTGAAGAAGGTTGTACAGGGCTTCGCCGCATAACATTGCGAATGTAGGGCTAGAGACTAAATATGGACCTGCATGTCCTGTCGACAGCAGATGGGATACATTAATGCTCTAAAACATCCTTAGGTTCTCCACACATCCAGTTCGCTCATCACATATCTTCAGTTCATCGCGGTCACTTGCTTTTGCAACCAGTCACTCCTTTACTTGTTTTATACTGTCTTTTGTCTAATATGGTGTCGAGTCGGTCCCTCCTTACGGTCTTCGCGACCTTGGTCGCAGTTGCTACGAGTCAGCAATGTTATGCCGTTGACGGTACAGCACTCGACAAAACATACACGCCATGCAACCCTAGCGCCAATCACAGCGGATGCTGCGCGTCCACCGACATCTGCATGAGTAATGGGTTGTGTATGGGAACAACAAACGAGTCGATCGGTATGATCTTCTCTCGAGGCTGTACAGACAAGGAAGGAAAAGATGCAGTATGCCAACAAGACTTGTGCCCTGGTGGTAAGTTCCCAAACATTTGACTCATCTCATGTTCCTCAACTAATTCACTTCAGTTTCCAACGACTTCCTTGGTCTCAAGCCAGTAAAAGCATGGCAACTACAAACATGCGACTCCGGAACATACTGCTGCCGCGGCGCCGACGACACGAAGAGCTGCTGCAACAACGAAAATGCACCCCAAATCACAACTACCTTCAGCGCGACCCTCCAACTCCAAACTCCGAGCGCGACCAATGATCCTACAGCGGCCGCCGCAACCACTGCCCCACGTCCTAAGACCTGCTCAAAAGAAAAGAAGGAAACGGCAATAGTCGGCGGTGTCCTCACGGCTGTCTTCACCATGATCATCGCAGGCCTGGCTTCCACTATATTCTGGATGTACAAGAGGGAGAAGAGACAGCGCAAGCTGAAGGAGCACTACGAGGAGCAATTCTCCCAAACCAACGCGTACCGCAAGGCACTGGCGTCGAGCGCCGGATCCTGCAGAGGCAGTGTCATGATGGAGGACTTGAAGCCCAAGTCCAGCCACGGTCCCGCATGAGGAGTCACACACACACTCAAACTCAGAAAAAAAAGTCTTTCGTATCGTCTTTCCACTTTAGCGTCGGTGTTTTTGCGGGTACAGGCAGGCACGGTGATGGGACAGGGTAATGTTGAGCTCACGCCTGGTACCGATCCTTGGGTTTTAGCCCAATTTCCTTTGTTCATTTCGGCAGTTGCGAATACCCTTCAGGACTCTGTTTCCTTTGTCTCGGCTTAGATATTCGGTTATGTAGCGATGACGGTTGGGAAGGGAACAACACTTAGATGGTTGATGTGGAACACATTCTGAGATGTAATAGATATAATGCACGTGCATTTTCATCCTATAATATTGCGACAAACATGTCTATCATCGCTCAACTTCACCCAACTTCCCCATGAGCAGTGCCTCGACCTTCTCTCCCTTCTTCAAGCTGCCTTCGCCTTGTGGCATACAAAGTAGCGCGTTGGCACCCCTGAAGCTGCCGATGCGGCTACTCCTCTGCCCACCTGTTGAGCTGGCGTAAAGCAACCCATCTTCTTTCGTCACGACGAGCGCACGGTGATACTCTGGACGACCCTGGTCCATCCTCACATCCTCATCCAGTATAACCCTGATTCTTGGTAGCCCGAGTGGCTTAATTCCAGCTTGCTGGTGCAATGCAGGCAGAACGAAGAGATGGAAACACACCACGGCTGAAGCTGGATTGCCAGGAAGCGAGAAAATCGACTTGGTGACAGGGTTTCCCTCATTGTCCTTGACGGGCACAGTGGCGAACGTGGTGGGTTTACCTGGCTTCATGTTGACACGGCCGAAGTGGATCGTGCCGCCGAGAGAGCGCTCGATGGTTGGTTTGAGTAAGTCGAGCTCGCCCATCGAGACGCCACCAGAGGTGATGATAACGTCGCACTTGCGCATCGCGTCTCGGAGACTCTGCTCAAGGGTACCAGGTCTGGATCTGGTCAGCGACATATGAATCGAAGATTCTTTTCTATCTTCACTCACTTATCTGAGACGATACCCAGATCGATGACTTCGAACCTATGGCTTCGTGCGGCAGTGATGAGAGTGGGTCGGTTGGTATCGCGCACTTCTCCGAGTCGCAGCGGGCCCTCTCTGTTGTGTGGGATGATTTCGTCTCCTGTGCTCAGGACTCCCACGACAGGCTTCTTGTAGATAGACACCTCTGTCGTGCCCACAGACGCAAGAAGACCAAACTCGCCACCCACGACTGTGACACCTTCGCCTTTCTTCAGGATGATCTCGCCCTCTTTGACATCGCTGCCAACCTCTCGTACGTTTTCGTTCGGCTTGATCTCATCCGTCAGTATCTCGATCTCTTTCTCTTCTTTGCCATCATCGGTCAAGCTCTTCAATACTGTATCCTCAACCATGACCACAGCGTCAGCACCGGGTGGAAGCGGGGCGCCAGTCGTAATCCTGGCAATCTCCCCTTCTTTCAACTCCTTGACCTCGCCAGGCTGTGCATGAGATATGATTGAAACAGGGTAAGTTCCTTTTTCGAACTTGCCAGTCGCTGGAATCTTGACCGCATATCCATCGACGATGCTGGCTCTGAAGGCCGGAACAGACTCAGTGGCTTTCACATCCTCGGCAAGGACTGAGCCACTAAGTCTCATGTCTACTGGCACTTTCTGTACTGTAGCAGCTGGGGTTTGCTCCGAGATTAGCTTGAGCGCGTCTTCAACAGCCAACATAGGGTAGGGCGATGATCGATATCTGCGAGTTGGTCCCGCGGAAGGATCATTAGACTGGGGACGCTCTTCTGGATTCGTGTGAGCTTTGGGTCCTACGTGGCCGCCGTGACCATGTGAATGTCCATGATGGTGATGGTGGTGATGCCCACTTCCAGCTCCTGTCATTGTAAGTTGCAGTGTTTCTGGGGTGAATGACACATCACGTACCTGCAGTAGCGCCACCCGAAGAAACACCCGCATCTTTTTCGAGCTTCTCTACACCACCGACGTGCAGCGGTCGCGACTCTGCACCGGCGGCTTGGATGCACGCATGTGGTAGTAACTTTAGAACTGCCTCGAGGTTCTCTTTGGCGCCTTTCGGTGATCCAGGCAGAGTCAATATCAAAGTCTTTTTTCTGACTCCAGCAACAGGTCTCGCCATGAGTGCAACTGATCAAACGTTAGCCTGGACGATCAGTTTGGTGTTCGAAGACTTACATGGCGTGACGGCGTAGGAAGTTGTGAGCATGCCATGTCTGGTTGTGTGTGAGCCTTCGCATACGGTATCGAGAGAAACCACCTACATAAGACCAGGAGCATGTCTATCAATCAGCGGCGTAACTGCCTTGTTTCTATTAGCTGCGTGTCTTAGGCCTTTTCGAGGATAAGAGCGCGCACCTCCGGAGTGACATCCTTAGTTGCGAAACCAGTACCTCCGCTTGTAACGATCAGATTGATTGGCTCCGGGCCGTCAGTCCAACTTTTGATAGTCTTCTGGATGACGAGAGCGTTGTCGGGTACTATCTCGGTTTCGCTAACGTCCCATTGGTCCATTCCGAGATCTCCGAAGACCTTCTTGAGGACTGGTATGCATTTATCGGTTGACGAGTCTTCGGAAGCAGTCTCAGACACTACCAAGATCGCTGCCTTTAACTTTGAACCTGTGGTGGCCATGTTTAATGTTGTCGATGTTGAGTCGAAGCGGAGTAGAGCGGACATCCCACCCTGTGGACATCGTGCACGGGCCATTGCTTACACGCTGAGTCGATCAGATTCACCAATTCAGTCAAGAGAATTATCCAAGAACATTGGAAACAGTAATTGATAAATGGTATTTAACGCCGATGCTCGCTCATATTACATGCATTATACAAGCGCCCTTCCTATGTACATTGTACAACCTCTGCAAATGACCTTCAGTAACCTCTTCACCAGCTCCACAAGCTGGCACTCGAAAACACTCCTCCTTGGCGTCCTTCTAGGCGGGATCGAGGTTCGATATAGTTCATATAATTGTGCCCTGAGGCGATATAGCGAGAACATTGCGCTCACTGGAAGTCCTTGGCGTTGCTCTGCATGAGCAGTCCAATGATGAGACCGAACAATCCGAGAATGGCAGCGAAAATCTCGATGGTAAGGATCTTGACGAACCTGTATCAAAGTTAGCATCGAAACAGAGACCCGGAAAAGACAGCTACTTGCATTGCAGGGTCCGCAGCATCGGCCAGGGCCGCGCTACTTCCGTTGATGCCCACGCATACACCGCAGATCAGGTTGCACATGCCCACGGTTATTCCAGCCCAGAACAGCGCGTATCCGGTGAAGTAGTTGGATCCAGAGTACAACAGCTCAGGGTCCGAGAGCTGGTTCATCTTGGAGGAGAAGATGATGGCCATGATGACACCGTAAATAGCGACGACTTCGCAGAAGATGATGGAGATCAAGTTCTTAGTTCGTATCCGTGGCGCCTTGACACCACCACCGACGATGGACACACCGGTTGTCCAGATGCCCCTTTGCGATTGTCAGATGCGATGCGTGTATGTTCCCGACGGCTAGACGTACCATGCCGAGCCTACGACAGAGAGACCAATGCATAGCGCAATGCCGACACTAGCAAATGTGTATGGCGATATGCTTTCGAGGAAAGCTCCGACCTGGAATGTAATCAGTCATGTCCGTATCGGGTTGGTAGGAACGCGTGCGTACGTTGAAAGCTTCGCCTTCGTTGTTGAAGAGCATATCTGGAGGTCGTTAGCTATCGCCTACGCCCCTGCGCGCGGTACATACACAGGCCCACCACACCGAGGGCGGCGGTCGCACCGCCCGTTCCATAAGTAAGAGACATGTTGGGTTTGTTGGTCGTAGAGGCGGAGATGGATGGTGAAAGAGGCGGCTGGAGCTTCGTCGTGATGGACTCGCCGCGAAGCTGGCGATGATGCAGGCGGAACAAGCCGCGTCGCGCTAGCATCGAACAGCTTAGTAACCACCACCTCGGCGCGCCGCTCCCATCACTCTTCCCGCTCAGGCGTCACCGAGACCAAACCACCAGCTCGTCGCAACTATCAGCACCATGGCCACCGACAACACCAAGTACTACGAGCTCTACCGCCGAAGCAGGTACTACATGCCACTCTGGGAGAGCGTAGCAAGGAGCGCTGGCTAACAGAGGACAGCCTGGGCGGCTCTCTCACCGACACCCTGGACAACCTCATCACCGAGCGCCGGATAGAACCCCAGCTCGCCATGAAGATCCTTCTCAACTTTGACAAGGCCGTCGCCGATGTGCTCTCGGAGAAGGTCAAGTCGCGCTTGACATTCAAGGTCAGTTGCGCACGGGCGACCAGCGAGAAGCATCGTGTGCTGACTTGAAACTCCGTAGGGACATCTCGATACCTACCGCTTCTGCGACGACGTATGGACCTTCATTATCAAGGACATCAACTTCAAGCTGGACAACACCCATCAAGTCCATGCCGACCGCGTCAAGATCGTTTCCTGTAACGCGAAGCGTCCTGGTGAGGCTTAGGCGGCTCAAGGAGCGGCAGGTGCCCTGCAACACGGCAGGAAGGAGACAATCGCGTTCAAACAAATGCGATTGCGCAAGATGCGATCTACCGGCTAGAGCAGCTGTCTCACTACAGACCTGTGGCATCATATGCTTTCGGCGTTACGGCTAAAACGGCCTTGGAAGGCTTTCACGATACCTCTGGCATGAATAGGAGTTTGGGACTGAATGCGTGATTCGCGTTGATTTAACGCTGATAAATTGGAACAATTATGATATTCTGCATATATGGGCTATCGCACCCTTTGCTACACACAGGTGATGACTTCAGGTGGGAGTGCAATTATAGTGAACTCTTCTTGACTGGCAGCCGATGGAAGAGCTGGGCAGTAGACTATGACTCCCAGTGGCATGCGCACTACAGAGCACCTGCCTCATATATTGCGTCAAGATGCGACCTGCATGTACTACTACCCCATATTGACTAAGCGCGGAAGTGCACCCGGTCGTACCTTGCAGATCATCAACTTGCATCCGTGAACATCGACCTCATTCCCCGCAGCACCCCAGTACGGCCGCGATCATGTCTCTCCCTCAAACCAAGTCAGCGTGGCTGATGCTTGCCATCTCTAGTGGCGCATGTGCAGCTTTCAATGGCGTCTTCGCAAAGCTGTAAGCAAACGTCGAGTCGCCCTAGCCCACGATGCGTACTGACAATGATGTAGCACAACCACCGAGCTCACTGCCTCCTGGTCGAGCTCCATAGCCCTGGCACTCGGGCTGAGTGCGTCAAACAAGATTGTTGAATATGCGATACGAGGGGTGCGTCCTCCCAACCTGTCATGCCTTCTATTACCCGCACACAACTAACGCAACGCGCAGCTCTTCTTCGGTATGAACCTCGTCTTCAACGCGATCATGTGGGGGCTCTTCACGCGTGCCCTTACCCTTGCCTCCTCGACCGTACGCGTCAGCATCATAAACACGTCTGCGAATTTCATCGTCACCGCCGTCCTTAGCTTTATCATCTTCAGCGAGAACCTACCGGGGTTATGGTGGCTTGGGGCAGCCATGCTGGTAGCTGGCAGCGTGATCATCGGCATGAGAGAGGAGACTGAGAAGAAGAGTGTGGTAGCTACCACGGGAGAGGCCCCACTTCTCGACCGCGATGGTGACGCGAACACGGAGGGCTTTAGGGACGACGAAGACCAAGGCGATGACACAGTCGAACTCAACAGCGTGAAGAACACAGCAGGGGACAGCAGTGACGAAGACGGTGTATTGAAATAGACAGGACACCAATCCATTGCTGCGACTGTACAATCTGGGTCCCTCCTACTGGGTGACGACAACCAATACCGCGGTACCGCGCATGAGCTCCTCCACCTCACTTTTTCGTCACCGACACATTGCTAAAATCCCTCAACAGGCCGCCCAGCAAGGGTGCGATTAGCTTGCTAACAGGGTCCAGTGCTTTCACGAACAAACGCAGCACAATCTTGGTCCATCGCCGCTTGAGCCGGCACAGTACATTACCTCGCGCCGGCAGGCACACCTTTTCACTTTTCACTTCCCACCTGCAGTGCGCAATCGGTGGGTTAAGGAGTATTTCACTTTCTGGTTCGCTTGCTGCCCACTCTCTCTATATAAATTCCGGCGCACCCTTTCCCCCTCGACTTAACACTCCCCAAGCAGCCCCAACTCCACAGTCTTTTTACACCGACCTTTCTCCCTAAAATGTCGGACAGCCCAGTTCCCGCCCTTCTGAGGCCTACGGCCGCTGAATTTGTTCCCGGTCAGCTTGCGCATCCCAGCCCTGCGTCGAGCGAGCGCGTCTCTTCCCCTGCGACGCCGCCTCAGCAAGGCTTCAACGCTCATCCCCAGTATCAGCTCCCGCAACATCCACAGGGACTGCCATACTGTAGCCCTGGTTTCTACGGGTATCAGCCATACCCCCTATACGATGGCTACACCCACTACTACAACCAGGTCCACAACCCCTTCGACTTCCACGCCACTCCACCCATGAACTACGTGCAGCCCCAAGGCCCTATGTGGAACCACGAACAGTTCTCCTCCATCGAGTACACCGCAGGCACGCCCGAGCCGTTCACAAACCAGCACCGCGAGGTCAACGGCGTACGGGCCGGCACGATGCCCTACCAGAACAACCACCAGGGCCGCTATCAGAATGGAAACGGTGTGGACCCCAACACCGGGCTCAGGAGGAGGCCTAGGAAGAATAACCGTAGGAAGTATAACCACCGGGCGCGGGGACAGAACCAGAACCAGGATCACGACCAAGACCAAGACCACGACGACGACGACGACCAAGGTCACGAGCAACAGCAGAAGCCTGGCGGCGAGGCCAGTGGAACCTATCGACGAAACCCGCCTCGTGAACAAGACTGAAGAGTCCTGAGATTCCTACAGCGACTACAAATTCAAAGACACGATTGTGTCGACTATACGGGTGACAGGCGTTCGGGCGTTCAAAACTGGCGATGCATGTAATGTTGTGTACGATGAGAATGTACGTTTATTCAAAAAGCGAGGGAGTTCAGGCGCGGTAATGGGATTGGAGCATGTACAGCGGCTCAACACGGAGTTTGTCATGGCGACACGATATCGAAGGCGTTCTGGACTTGGTACTTTCATTCCTTTCTAATACTTGTCCTGATAAGAAAAAGAGGTGGAGCGACGAGGTGGTTAGTTTTCTTTCCCATGACATTGAAGCGAATGTAGTTTTTTTTGCCTTTCTTGCATTTATGCGATGAGTACTTTCAACTCATGTTACTAGCTTAGCTATGTACATCCCCCTGTATTAATGTAACCTCTTCAGTCCCTCAATCAATCCCTTGACTTCCTCGAGCTCCACACCCAATCCCTCAACGGCCTTCCTTTGTACTTCCTCGCTTACATCCAAAAAGCGCTCCACCAATTCTCCGTCGACAAAACGCATGGGTTCCTCTTCTTCTCTAACGGTGTTCTTGAACGCGCGGAACTTGGCAAAGTCCATATCTCCCGGTGCGGCGACGAGAGCGCCGAGATTGGATTGGAGCGTCATGAGGAGGTTTTGGTAGTCGGGTGAGATGAGACCGAAGAGGTAGATTGAGCCTTCGACCTGCATGGGAATTAGTATTCGTGTGTGATAAACGTGATGGAGTAGACTTACAGTGCCGACGAACGCTTTGGGAATGACGGCAGCGTCCGAGGTTGTCATGACATCAACTCGACGTATTCTGTTCACCATTTCTCCGAGTAGCATCTCAGAGCTAACGTTTAACCGCCTCTTGTCGTCATCTGTGACACCGTTCGGATCGCGGTACAGGACCATCAGGTTTCCTTCCGCGTCGCTTTCGAGGTAAGTGTTCGTGTCTACCTCGGCCACAGCTGTAGCCCAAGTAGTCTGGTAGTGCCGCGCAACCTCCACAAGTTTGTCGGGTAGACCCGCCTCACCCTTTGTGTATTCGACGACGGCGAGCGACTTCATCAGATCAGCGATGGCGATCATGGTACCATTGACTGTAACATCGATTGGTGCAGTTGAGCATCTGAATGAAGCTAGCTTGACAAGGTCAGGCGAGCTCTGCGTTTTGAATTCGACATCGTATACTACGATAGTCTTGATGAGCGCGGCGACGATCTTGCCTTCGCAAATGGCTAGACACCTGCAACCGCCCTTTACAGCGATTTCGGTGACGAGCTTGAGCACGCGCTCAGGCGTTACCTCTAGAATGATTATGCGGCCGCGTTCTGCAGTCGCGTTCTGATCGTCTAGGTATGCAGTGCCGATGACGAAGCGCTCTGCAACCCCGCCTGAGCCGTCTGGGAGTTCGCAGCGCATGACGCATTCGATCAGTTCTTCTTCATTGAGCGCATAAGTGTCGAGCTCTTTGAACTGGATCTCGTCCACGAGCTTGAAATGACTCAGCATAATCTCTTCGCCATGTTTGAGTATCCTCTTGATAGTGCCAAGACCGAAAGCTTTCAGACTAGGTGAGTATGCTATCCGTCGTACGGTCTCATCGACCTTTAGCGTCTGTACATGCGTTGTCCGTTCGGTGTCTACTAGAGCGATGCGGAGGTCTTCTGATGTTGCGATGGCTACAGATCCGGGGTATGCTTCTGAGTCGAAAGGGCAGACTGTCGTCGCTTTCTCTGCTGTAACAGCGGAGTATACAAGACGGCCTTCTGACGAGTAAATCAAGGAAGGGTGTTCGCATGTTGCAAAGACGTTGAATAGGCCGTTACCGCGAGGCAGGGCACGGAAACTAGCTTCGCGCGTGCCTAGAACGATGCTCTTCCTTCCGGACAACTCATGTGTTGAGGGATCAAAGGCGTATGTGACGACATTACCATCTGCTAATGCGGCAAAGAGGGATGGCGGTTGTTCCAGGAATATTTGAGTCAGTAGTAATGAGCGGGGAACCGAGTCTTCGGAGATCTGAACTGTCTTGACCGCTTCCAGGGTATCGAGAGAGCATATGGCGAGTTGGGAGTTGCTCCAAAAGCCGATGAAGCATACCGAGCTTGAGACTGACGGAAGAGCAATGCAGGCGACTTGGCTTTCGGAACCGAATTTCTTCTCTTTGACAACCTGCAAACCGTCTGCCATACTCAGAGAAACGATTGTGACGCCTCCCAGGGACACAAGAACATGACTGTCGTTGATTGAAGCCGCGGTAATAGCCTGACCACCCATTGGCATCCATTCTGACGTTATCATACCGCCGTCCAGGTCGCAGATGCGGGCTCTTCCGTTGGTGACCTGGATCACACGGCCTTGTGAGATGTTCGCAGCGGCTAGTGTCGTTTCATCCAAAGCGAGCGAGGCAAACTCGTCTACCTCTTCTACCTCGCCTTGCGGGTCGAACCGGAAAATGCGCGACTCGTTGACGAAGCTGACTAGTAAGGTGTCTTCATACTGGGCAGATGCGGTGGATTTGAGACTGAATAGATCGGAGATCTGTTCCATCTCGCCTAGCACACCAAGATCCTCCAGTCCGACTCCGCTTCTAGCGCTACGAAGACTACCATCTTGATAGGCGCCACTACCGGTTACTATGCGCGCCTGGCCAGAAGAGTATTCATTGCTTTGCCCTTCACCAGATCTGTTGCCCATATCCATGATGGTGAAGTCGAGGATAGGCGCAATGTTGGAGAATGTCTGGACAACTTCCATTGACTTCTCTGCGATCTTGATGACTTGCGAATCGCCCTGATGCGATCCCACAAAGACGTAACCAGCATCGAGATATACCAGCGTAGATGCGCGAGATGTCTCGCCGATTACATCGAGTTTCCATGATTGGACCTTGCCTTGGCTGCTCAAGACCAACATGAACATGTATAGGCGACCATAGTCATCGGCGAGCACGAATCGCTGTGCGTCGATGCGTTCCCAAGCCACAAAGATGGTCGCCTCGTCCAGTGGCTCGGTTTGGATCTCCCCGCTTTCGTCGTCGTAGTATCCGATAGATGTTTCGCCGATGACTATCAAGCCGTGGGATGGCTCCTCGACGGGTATCAGGTGGCTCGAGCCAAGCTCCAGTTCGGTCTTGCAGGTCTCACCTTCTTGTAGGTCCACCTCTTCGCCGGCGTAGGTCAATTCCCGTAGTTTCAGCTTGACTTGAGAGTGCGTGTCTTCGTATAGTAGAGCCATCTTGGGCTTGTCGTCGAACGACCGTGGGCGCAAGAAGGCAGACGAGCGGACGAACATCTCGGGGAGTCTGACTGGTTGAGGGTCTCCCAGGTGGGCGATATCAGCCTCTTGCTTCCTCTTCTTTCCCCTTTGGACTAGCGGTATGACGGTGACAATGCCCTCATAGACCTCGACAGTCATGAATCGCCCCGTTGGATCAATGTGACATCTCTCGCCCGTTTGCGACTCTCTTGCAGCATTGTCGGCCACGCTCGCGAATGATTTCTCCGTCTGTAATTGCTTCTTTTCGGGATTCCATGACAGGGTGAAGTACATGTAACGATCGGTTCCGACGAAGAGGTGGTCGGTCGGCGATAGGGCTGGGCGGAGCTTCTGCAGCATGGTGACCTTGCCATAGATGGCTTTGGAGTGTTGGAGGGCCAATCCATCGGAAGTCTGCGCGTAGAACTCGAGTCTGTTGGATTTGCTGTCTTCGTATTAGCATTGGATAGATAGTGATGCATGCACCCGTGGAGTGCTTACGCGACTACGAGGCAATCCTCCTCTGAGGCGAGGAAGTTGAGCTTGAGCGCATGCCGGACGCTGCTTGGCCGGTGGATAGGTGCAATGTAAGCCATGGCGATATCTACGAGAGCTTGTGGATAGCTCAAAGTACAGAACAGAACTATCGTGGTTGCCGGGCTGGGGATATCGGATGCATTCCGTCATTGAGCTGCACGGGCCGCGGCTCCACGCGACTTCGCGTTGCGGGGCGGCCGTGACTTTTGGAACTTTTGGCACTTTTGGAACTTTGGGTGACCGCGACTCTTTTTGCTTGCAGCCCCGACGCGCCCACTTAAAATGGCCTGTACGTCCAGCCCTCGCTCTCCACAACACCAAACCAGACCCCGCTAACACAATGGACAACTCAGCGGCCATGGATATCGAAGACGAGGACCCCGTTGTGGCCGAGTACGACGTCTACATCACCCCCGAGATGGCCGAGCAGCAGCTGTACGTGCTGCAGTACCTGAACCGCCCGCCCGACCAGCCCTTCACCAAGGCCACCGAGAGCCAGCCCTCGCAGCTGCGCCTCAAGAAAGAGTCGGGCTTCATTGAGGTCGACGTGCCCGTCAACATCCACCGCAACTACAACCGCGTCGCCGGTGTACGCTGGGGCGAGGCCATGCGCAAGACCAAGGGCTTCGGTCAGAAGGCCTTCGGTATTGCGTCCGGCTTTGAGCGCACTATGCCGCGCAGCACCAACCGCCCTGGCGCCGCCGGTGAGGGAGGAGCACCCGCAGCGCCCATTGCGACCGAGGACGACGACAACTTTGAGGAGTACGTCACCCACTTCGAGGACGCCAACGAGAAGGGCCACGTCCTCAACACGCAGACGTTCGGTGGCCAGATCATGCCCGACGACGGCAAGGGCACCAGCTACATGCTCGGCACCTTCCGCGACAGTAAGTAGCGCGCGACCACAACCCTCGCTTCAAGACTGACTCGGCGCAGACGAACTCCACCTCACACGCTGCAACGGTCTTGTCCAGCTCCGCACACAGTTCCACCAGATCGACGCCTCCGCCCAGCTAGAAGCTGTCCAGCGCCGCCGCGAGAAGGAGTCACAGGAAGGCGCCAAGGTCGCTGAGCCAAAGGCCTTCCTTGCCCAAGTCAAGAAGACGGGTGGTGACACTGCCGCAGAGCTAACCCAGGCCTTCATGAAGTCGACCAACCAAGAGCAGTGGCTGAGGCTCGACTACTACGA